TTAAATAAGATAATTATAATATAAATAATAGAGAAACAAATGTAGAAAATATATAAATTCTATAAATATATATTCTATAAGTACATATATATCAATAAATAATATAATAATAATAATAAAATAATTAATTAAGAGGAAACTCTTTTATTACCCTTTTCCCTCTGCCTGCAACATTGTTCTCCCTCAGCCTGTTCAAATTACGCATTTACAAGGAGGTGTCCCCTGACTAATAACACTGCAAATGGCCCCCTGCAAATTCCCAGTCCCCCCTTATCCTGCCCCACATTTGCTTCCTTCTATAGCACTTCTCACTTTCTGATATGCTGTGTAATCTATTTACTTCTTTTATTGATCGTTTTTGTGTCTGACTCCACCCAGGAGTGTGTAGGTTCCATGAGCTCAGGGAGTTTTGTCTGCTCAACTCAGATATGCACTCCCGGCCCCAACATCCGTCGGTGCTTGTCCCCAAAACATCCACGTCCTGATCTCTAGAATCTGTGAAAGTTCCCTTCTAGGGCACGAATGGAGGCTTTGCAGATGGGATTAAGTTAAGGATCTGGAGATGGGGAGATTATCCTGGGTTACCTGGGTACACCCCAGATGTAATCGCAAGTGTCCTTATAAAAAGGAGGCAGAGGAGATTTGGGTGCATCCAAAGATGTCAATGTGACAACTGAAGCAAGATGCTAGTCCGCCAGCTTTGAAGGTGGAGGAAAGGGCCAGGAGCCAAGGAAAGCAGTTTGGGAAGCCAGAAAAGGCAAGGAAACGGGTTCTTCCCTAGAGCATCCGGTGGGAGCGCAAGCCCTGCTGACACCTTGATTATGGCCCCGTAAGACTCTTTTCAAAGTTTTGGCTTCCAGAACCACAAGGGCACAAAATTCTGTGGTTTTAAGCCACTGACTTTGTGGCAGTTTGTTATAGTATCCATCGGAAACTAAGGCTGTGCTCCGTAAACAGTTGTTGAATGAATAAGCCCTTGTTGAACCAGTAACTGGAGACACCAGTATTGCTTATAATGAGTAGAAGGTGAGAGAACAGAAACATGGGCAGGCAGTGCAAACACAGTCGGGGCCACAGGGGTGCACCCAGGTAACCCAGGATAATCTCCCCATCTCCAGATCCTTAACTTAAGGATCCTTAACTCTTCTCTAATTCTCCGTTAGACAAGAGAGCATGAGAGACCCAAGAGCACCCAACGGGGACTTGATGTCTGTGCAATGGAAAATGGAATGGTTTTCCTATTCCGTCAGTGGAGGATACTTAATGCTTCAGTTTGCAGGCCTGAGGGAGGGGATCAGGGCAGACTTTATAGAGATGATGATATTTGTACCTGGTCTGGGAGGATGAGTGGAGAGAGGACAGCACATGGCACGGCCATTAAGTATGTGTGCCACCTAAAGTTGCCACCGCAGGCTAAGTCTCCTGTGACTTGAGAAGTGTAGCCAAGGTGAAGGGGAGCCTCCAGAGGCTTCTATGCAGGAAGTGCCATGGTCCAGCCGGTGCTGGGATCCCAGGGAGACAGGGGGATCTGGGGAAGGGGACCTCGTGCTGCCTCATCTTTTGCCTGGGCTCCTTCTCATGCTCTAGCTGCTTCCATTTTTGACCTGTTTCTCCCCTACGGTGACCTAATCCAGACCCTTGACGAGGACAACATGCCTCTGTCCAGCGTGGGTCTCTCTCCTGAGTTTGCAACCCCAGCAGAAGTCGGGGTCTCATTCCGCTCTCCCCTTGGGGTGCAGGTCATTGAGTGTGAGGTGTCTCTGTCCTTACGGAGATGTCCTGTGGGCTGTGGCATACTTGGGTCTGGAACTCAGGGGCCGGGAAGGGAGGTCAGAAGAGCAGTGAGGTGACAGTTTGAGAACAGTGGCCCATCAAGAACAAATATTCCTGTGATCGGCAAATGGAGTCATTGTCCCTTGGAGTCAGGAACTTGTGGCCACGGTGGCTGCTTGGCAAGGGTCTGGGAATGAGGTGGTTCTCCCCCACCCTCACCTCCGTCCTGGCACGAGAGGGCACTTCGACTGAGCAGGCTGGACAGGAAGGAAGCCAGAGAGGACTGGCGGGGGCTTCCTCTGGGGCAAGTGGACTTGCCCTCTGAGGAAGATTCCCTCTGAAAGATAGTGTGCCTGGCAGGTACGCACACAAGTTCTGGGGGCAGCCCTGGGCCTATCAGTTACTAGCGATGGGGGCAAGAGGAGAACTCTGTGCCTCAGTTTCCCTATTTGCTGTGTGTGAAGGGCTTCACAGAATCCCTGGCAAACAATAAGTGCTTGACAAATATTAGCCATTATTATGATTGTTATTGTTTTAATTAGCTCTGTAAACTTTTCCTAAATGCCATCCCTGTACTCAGTCCTGCCCCTGTCTAAGGACAAAGAGATAAGACATCCCGCCCTCAGGGTGTTTACTGTTTAGTGAGAGAGACAGACAAATGGATAAAAATTCTATCAGGGGATGAAAATTCTAGAATAGAGGGAGCTCCAACTTCCTGGGGCAAGGGAGGGTATACAAAGGCTTGATGGAGATGGTGACGTTGGTGCCCGGCCCGGGATGACGCGTGGAAGAAGAGAGAGGGCAGCACTTGGCATTGCAGGCACACAAGCGCTGGGGTTGGGAGCCAGGCAGGAGGGAGCTGGCTGGAGCCCTAGGCTGTGAGCATGTGCTCCCCGGGGCGGGTGGCTGTTGACTCCAGATGCCCCTGACCTCACTTTTTTTTTTTTTAAGATTTTATTTATTTATTTGACAGAGAGAGAGATAAGGAACACAAGCAGGGGGAGTGGGAGAGGGAGAAGCAGGCTTCCTGCCGAGCAGGGAGCCCGATGCGGGGCTCGATCCCAGGACCCTGGGACCATGAGCCAAAGGCAGACGCTTAACAACTGAGCCACCCAGGTGCCCCTGGCCTCACCTTTGACAAAGCCAGCAGCAATGACAGCCTCGCCAGAAGTGTTCCTGCCCGTGACATCATGCTGAGGCCAGTCAATTCCATGAATCTGACACAGCCCCCACCCCTCCTGCCAAGGGGTGCCAAGGAGGGGGAGGAAGCTCTTCTCGGCCATGCCCAGTCAGGCGACACAAGTTCCTGTCCGTGCTGGCTGCCGCCACCCCAGCCCAGTAAGGACAGGAGCCAGGCTCGCACCTTCTGTAACCTGATGCTCGCCTGCATCGGCCCTGGCTTCTGAGTCCACTCCTCCAGGGGCGCCACAGCCAGCCCGCGGTCGTGGTCACGGTCACGATGACCTCCTCCCTGCTGGCTGCCGGGCCTGCTCACAGAGCCCCACCCAGTGAGGTCCAGTGGAGCCACTGCAGGGGGCAGAGACAGCTGGTGCAGCCACTGGCCTGGAGTCAGGTTAGACCAGGTGTCCCTGGGCCCAGGGAGGGGCCCAGACTCCTGCCTCCACTAGCAAGCATCCCTGTGCTGGAAGCAGGCCTGAAATGCAGGCCTCTCTGCACCCAAGGATGAAGGGCATCCCTCTTGCCCTATCGCCAGATGCCGAGCCTTCCCTCCTCCCCCCTGGACTGACCTGAGCCTCACCTTCAAAAGGCACAGACACTGCTTGGATGCCAAGTGATGGAATGATAGAGTGCACAGGCTCTGGGGTCAGACCGCCTGAGTTCACATCCCAGCTCTGCAACTTCCTAGCCGTGGCAGCTGGGGTGAGTAACTTAACCTGTCTGTGCCTCAGTTTCTTCATCTATACGATGGGATAATCAAACCTGCTTAATCCAGAGAGTGGAAGATTTTTCTCCATAAAGTGCCAGAGAATACATATGTTAGGCTTTGCAAACCTAGGGTCTCTGTTGCAACTACAGGGATGGCGGCCATTGTAGCACAAACGCAGGTGCAGATAATATGTAAATGAATGGGCATGGCTGTGTGCCAATAAAACTTTATTTATGGACACTGAAAATGGAATCTTGTATAATTTTCATGAGTCACAAAAGAGTCTTCTTCTGATCTTTTTAACCATTGAGAAAAGTGAAATACAAAATATTCCTAGGTCATGAGCAAAAACAGGATCTGGCCCATGGGTTGCAGTTTGCTGTCCCCAACACTCGTCTCCGTAAGTGCTTAGAACAGCACCCAGCACGCTGTTGCTGAGCTCACATTGAACTCCTACTGTGTGCTTAATACATGTTAGGTATTGTCATGTTGGAAAGTGTGAGTAGAGAAATGGTTGTCGGTGGTGGTTGGCTTGCTAGGGAGGGGCAGGCCTTGCGGCGGGGTGGGGTGGTGGCTGCCTGGGAGGAGGAGAGGCTGAAGTGAGTTATCAGATGATCCTTTGTGCCTTGGGCCACCACTTGCTGGGGTGTCCGGCAAGGCCCTTTCGCAGACCTTTCTTTGCTTGGGTAAGGGGCCCAGGGCACTGGCTTAGCTGCCCAGAACATGGCCCCACCCATGCTCCCAGAGTGAGGACCTCCTGTCACATCCCCAGACCTCCCCCCATTGCACTCTACCCCCACACACTCCAAGGACCTCGGGCCAGCTCCCTGCCTGAGGGCACAGAGGAGAGACCTCTCCCCAATGTCAAAAACTAAAAACAGTTTCTTCACAGCCTCAGCTCCGAGGCTGGTGCTTCTTCTTGGCTTTGGCACTAGGCAGTGGTTATCTGCCCTTGATACTTCAGGTCATATCCTTGGGCCCCAGCCCAGGCCAGAGGAGTGGGTGAAACTCCCAGCTTGGGGCTTTGGAGGAGTCTTTCTCTCTCAAGATCTGGTGAAAGCTCTGTCAGGCTTCCCTTCTGGCCTTCGGCTGGCTGGGCACCATTTCCTCGACCCCTATCTCTCTCTGGAACAGATGTGCCAGGGGTTTGTGCGGCCGGCTCTTTCTCACCCTGGACGGCTGTGAAGGTAGCTGGGCAGGGGCCAATGGGTCCCCTGCACACACCCAGGCCCCATGTTGTTGGTCAAAGCAGACTTGTCCTCAATGTCTCTGAAAAGCCCAGAGGGGGGTGCCAAGAGTCCCCTCCACATGCAGGAGACAGGGTGACATGGTCTAAGTTCTCAGACCGGGGCTGGGGGTCCCAGCTATATCTCCCTTCACCTCCCTGCCTCAGGACTCAGCTGGTACCTGGGTGTCTGTGAGCTGGTCGGAAAAGGCCCTCTCCAAACGCAAGGTATTATATCTGGGAGGCGGTGTGCCAGGCACCTGGGTCCCTGGGGCTGGAGGCAGGCGCAACGCGGAGGTGAAAGTGGGCAGGTCATCGTCTACATCAAGGCCTGGGTTGTCCTGGCCCTGAGGGCCAGGGGGAGCGTGCCTCCGGGCCCACCACTCCTTGGCCTTCTGCCACTGGTGGCGGGCAATGATAGAGAAGGAGTCAATGAAGAAGACCTCAATTATCTCAATGACACAGACGACAGAGCAGCTCATCCACAGGCCCAGCTGGCCACCGAAGTTGGACAGAAGCATCTCGATCTGCAAGGGAGGTCAAGCCACACCGTGAAGAGGGATCCTCCTCCCAAGTTGTTCTCATGCAGGGACCCCCGATTCCCAAGGGAGCCCCTGGCAAGTGCTGGCCCTGAATGGGTTTGGAGGGCTTCCAGTCCCCTCTTCCTCTGCCTATGCTGATCCCAGGCCTGGATGGCCCATGGCAGCCCTGCCAGCTCAGACTGAATCGCTGGCATCTGACTCTGCTCCCTGAGGCTGGGCAGATGGGCACATTTGCAGACCCCAGACAGGTCCCAGAAGGAAGCTACTCACGCTGTTGGCAGGGCTCTCCATGATGGATCTCTGGTTCAGGTCTTTGTAGAATATCAAGAGTTTGGCCAAGTCTGTCCTGCAGAAATTCCAACAGTCAGGGCCAAGGTGAGTCAGGCACCTGTGCATTCTACCAGATGACCAACCCTTTAGCGTGACTGTTTCCCTCCTGCCCAGCCCCCAGCATGGCCCAGGCCCTGAGCTCCCCGGGGGCCCTAGAACCTGGCCCCTGAGACTCCTTCTGTACCCTAGAGCACATCCCCAACCTGGGCCTGGTTGTTCAGGCCAATCATTCCCTCCAAAACCATTTCCTACCCTCCAGACTAAGTCAGCCCACCCAGCTATACTCCCCTAGCACCCGGTTCTTCATTAAACCTTGACATTGTGATGGTTTGATTGCAATCTCAAATATGTACACGAGACATGCAGGTAATGTACACAAGCGAGGTAGGCTGGGTGTAGGGAAATGACAATGACCATAATAACAGCCAGCATTTATCAGACACTTCCTGTGTTGCCACCCACCGTTAAGTGCTTATGTAAATTCACTTGTTTGATGCTCACAACAACCCTAGCTAGCTATGTTTTCATCGTCCCCATTTTACAGATGAGGAAACCAAGACCCGGGTTGGTTAAGTCACTTGCCCAAGAACGCACTGCTTGTAATTGGCAGATCCAGTATTCAGACCTGGACGAATCTGGCTTCACAACCCATGCTGTTAGCCGCTGTACTAAATGGCCTCCTGATAGGACTGTGGCAAACTGGAAAGCCCATGCTTATTCCAAAGGGACAACTGCTACTCAGCTCTTTAGTGCTATGAAGAACGGAGGTTTGCTATTTCCAGAACTTCTGATCTTTCAAGGAAAGCCAGATGTAACGGGTTACTTTTGTGGAGCTGGATTTGGTCTAGGGGTCACTGGCTTGCAATGCTTGGTTTAATAGTTTGCAATGGCTTGGTCAAAGTCTATCTTTATGATTAGACCGTAAGCCCCTTGTGGGTAGGGATCATGTGTGCTCGGTCATCATAGTACCCCCAACACCACACACAGCACCTGGCACCTAGTGGATATTCAATAATTGTGGGAGGCTAGCCTGGCCTGGGTGCTGGGCCCTGTGGAGATGGGAAGGGCCCAGAGAGATGTGAGGTCACATGGCAATTCCCCCACCCTCTCTCACACCTTCGTCTCCATCCCCTGGGCTCCCTGAACTCTGGCCTGCCTGATTTTTGCTAAAGCTCCCTTGGAAGTGAATTTCAATGTGGAAAATTTAAATGGGATCAGAAGCTGCATGGTTCAGAGGAATATTTTTCCAACTAGGTCAAGATACATCAGGAAGCCATGACATCAGTTTCCTAGGCCATGACCACTACCTTTGACAAAGCAAACCAGGATAGGAAATATCACATCGCAGCCACAGAGATGTTCAAACTCTTTGTCAGCTGATATGGGCACTGGATCATTCCGAACGGTGCCATGATCACTGGAATGGATATAAACAGTTGGTTTGGCTATACCAGCTTGCAGTGTCTGAAGATCAGCCTGAGTGCTTTGTACATCATAAGGAAGTGCTATTCCATGAGACTTTTACCTCATTTATATATTCAATGGAAAACCATTTTCATACTCTGGGTTACGGTCAAAACATTTGAGAGCCCCGGGCCTAGCACAGGGCCTGGCTCCGGACACAAGCTTGATCAATATTTGTTGAATAAAGGAACGAGTGAAGGAACAAGAGAGGGTTTGACAGGGCCAGTGGAGAAAGAGGAAACAGGGCGGGGTTCTGCTTACTTGTTGAGTTTTTTCTTTATTTGCTGGCCTTGGTCCCAAGTGAGAACGGGCAGCAACCATTTCTGTGACAGAGAAATAAGGAATGACCTGGGGATGTCTTGAGAGCCCAGGGCCAGCCCATGCACCTCCCCTCTTAGCTTCCACACCCACCTGACCTCCCCTGTGCATCTTTCCCCGAAGCCAGAGGACCCAGGTGGAACATCAGGCTCCAGCTGAGGATATGAGCCGAAAGAGGGGGCAAGGTAACTTACCTCAGAAACCATGGATGGCCACTGTGCCAGACTGGTGGTCAGTGTCCACTCCTTAAAGCTAAGGGGGGAGGGGCACAGAGTGAGTGCAGGAGGCCCCGCCCGGCCCAGCCCTGTGTGTTCCGTCCTCCCAGGCCCACTCACCTGCAGGCTTCCCGGCACACCGCCTGGCAGCCCAGCTCCTCCCGGACAAAGGCCTGGTGCAGCTCATAATAGCAGTACACTGGGGGACAAGGCAGAGGGCAGTGTGAGCTTCGGGGCCACAGTGCCCTTCGGCGGGGGGGGGTCAGACATGGAGCCCCCAGAGTCTCCTTGTAATGATTTCTCCTCCCCTTTCCTGTTCTCTGGAAACAAATGCTGCTCTGTCATGTTGAGAGACAGAATACTGTGGAGGTTAAGGACATACGCTGGGGGGTCAGCAGCACTGGCTTTGAGTCTAGCTCTGTTACTCCCTGGCTGGGTGACCTTGGACAAGTTGGTCAACCATCCTGAGCCTCAGTTATCTGTTCCGTGAAAGGGTACCATCCGTGGTTCCTGCCTCCTGGAGCTGTCAGAGGTGGCCAACCTCTCAGCACACGCTGGGGTTCAGCATTTGGTCCTTAATCAGAAAGTGGAATTCAAGCCAGGCTCGAGGACAGGAGTAAAACTCTGCCTCTTATCTCTCTATCAATCCCTCGGTCCTGCAAAAGGCCCTAGCATAGGCTGGTGCTGGGGCTGGGCGGACCCCACTCCTGGGGCGGGTCTCACTTACTCCAGTTGGGGTGCTGCTGGTAGTTACAGTAGTTGGCTGCTGGAGGTAGAGGCTGGTTATACTGGGCACACCCACATTTCTCCACCATCTTTGTCTGGAAGCACGAGTGAAGGCAGATCTGAAAGACGAAACCCAGGGGTTCCCTTAACCTCCTTGCACATGGACTCCAGAGAGCTCCCTCCCTACACAACCCGCATCCAGGGGGCCGGCTTCCCACAGCCTTGGCGGACCGCATAAATGTGCCCCAGTGGACTGGGCCAGGGGTGGCCCTGGCACCAAAGGGACCGAGGTGGAAAAGTGATTGAGAATTCAGATTAACTGAGAAGTGGAGAACAGGCTGAGCTGGGGCTGGACCTGGGGCGGTCCTTTCTCAATGACTTGAGTGCTGACCCAGGGGAGTGGGGGACATCGGAGCAGATGCCAAGAAACAGAGGCCCTCGCTTTTCTGTTCTTAGGTGCAGGCCCTCCACACTGGATCCTTGGAGATCGTAAGCTACCACCATAGCCACAAAGCTTATAGCATACAAGCTCATGGCAAGGGCTCTGAAGGCAGGCTACTCCAGTTCAAATCCCAGGTTTGCCACACCCCAGCTGTGTGACCTCAGGCAAGTTCCTTAACTTCTCTGTGGTTTCTTCACCGTTGAAATAAGTATAACAGTACCTACTTCACGAGGTGGTTGTGAGCAGGAAATGAATTGCTATATGTAAGGTGTTTGTCCATGGTAGCCTCTCACTAAATTTTATCCAGGAGTGTCTTTCCAATGAGCTGACCTTTCCTTTTGGTCTTGAAGTCAGTTTGATTGTATTTCTACTATAAGTAGACATTCTTTGACTAACAGTCTCTTTTCACTTAGCATCCCTACCACCTCTCAGCTCAGTTCCGATGTAAGCTAGAGGACTCAGTGCGAACGTAGGAACACCTGATCTTTTTTATTCTACTGGGATGATTCTCATTAACTCTGAGCATCCCAGGAGGAGGGGAACTGCAGACTCCCAGAATGTAAGAGAAGGCATAACGGATGATCGCACTCAAGGGTTGCAAATTCAAATCCTTTCAGGGGCCAGTGATAGAGGTGATACACTAGGGGCTGGTGGGGACTATGGGAAAGGAGAACATGTGTCTCCTTGAACGGGGCAACTCCACCCACTGTTTACACCGCAGGGCTGTGGGCCTGATGTTGCCAGATCTTGTTTTTCAAGAGAAGCTGGAAATCTGGGTTTTCTTATGAAATTCCCTGACTTTTAAACACCATCCAGGCCAGAAAAAAACTAGGCGTGCAGCCTGGAAGGGGCCTGGGGGCTGCCAGTTAGCAGGCCCTGATCCAATCCCACCTCCCCCTGTGACTGCTGGGGATGTCATCACTTGCCCGAGGACATCATCGAGCGCGGGCCATGAGGGGCCCAGAAGCCAGGCTCCCAACCCCTTGGCCAAGGCCTCTCCCAGACTGCTTCTCTCCTGTCCCTCACTTGCCAAGACCTATTTAGGAAGCAGGACTGTCTCGGCTGTACATTGTGTTCCATGCAAACCTCAATCAATCAATTCAGCTCTGGTTACAGACGGATTGAAGAGGACTGGAACCAACTGGAGTTGTTTGTTCTTGAGGTCTTTGGATGAACCCCAGGAATTATCAGCAGAGTTCCTGGTCCCAGACACACCCCACCCTATAGATAACTGTCTCCTGTGTCCAGGCCACAACCCAGGGCTGAGTGCCCCCTCCCGCCCATACCTGGAGGGAATATGCCGCGTTGTAGATATTACTGATCGGCACGTTGCTCCCGTCCTCCGTGCACTGGCTGTAGGGTTCACTCAGCTTGAAGGACTCCGTCTGTAATCACAGCAGCATGCATTCAGCCCTACCCGGCCCCAGGACCCAGATGGGGGCACCCCTGGGAGCTGAGCATTTAGTCCTTCATTTAACAAATATTTCTCAAGCACCTACTAGGTGCGTGGTGCTATTCTAGGCACTGTGGACTCAACAATGATCAATAGAGACAAGCTCCCTGCTCTTGTGGACATTACTTTCCAGTGGGGTAGACAGACAGCCAAAAGGCAAATAGATGCATGAGATAATTTTGGATAATTATGGCTAGTGATCAGTGAAACTGGGAAGAGGGACTGGAGGGCTTGCGGGGAGGGGTGCAGTCTTTCCAAGAGTGATTGAGGAGGATGTCTTTGAGAAAGGGACATGTTGGCTCCACAAAGAATGGCAAGAAAGAGGTGGGTTTGCTAAGAAGTGGAGGAAGGGGATAGGGCAGAAGCCTCAGCAAAGGCTGATGTCGGGTAGGACCAGGGTGGCTGGAAGGCAGCATGAGAAAGATGAAGCCAGAGAGGGAGGTCAAGGCCAAATCATGGCAGCCTCCTATGCCATGCTGAGAAATCTGGATTTGGATTTGGATTTGGATTTCAAAATGGTAGTAAGCCATTGGACAATCCACTGGGAGGGCGCAGGAGGGGGGAAAAAAGACAAGCAGGGGCTGTGTGCTTCGTGGGATTCTCCTCCCAGGGAAGGATCCATTTCCTATCCTCTTGTCTTCTGGTCGCAGAAGTTGACTTGGAAAAATTGACTTTCTTAGAGAGGGCCAAGGAATGCCTCATAGAGTAGAATGATACCCCGATCAGAGGAGATGAGAGAATCGTAACTCACAGTTCAAAAACCACATGAAATAATGTTTTATCGTGGTTTACTAAGTTTGGCTCTAGCTTAATATTTGTCACTGCAAATAAAAAATCCAGACAAGCCAATTAAAAAAAAAAAAGAATAATGTCTCCCAGGAGGCAATGATAATTGAATATAAATTGTGACCAGCTTATAGCCAGGTTCCTTGTTTTTTTGTTTTGTTTTGTTTTTGTTTTTTGTCTTGTTTTTTTGTTTTCTGAGAGTGGGAGAAAAGGGGAAATCGATGGCAGATTTGTGGGAGGGAAGAAAATCTTTTTTTTCCACTGAAGAGTGGCCAGATAGACAGAAAGATAACAGAGGGAGGAATCAAGGAGTTTGACCTAGGTGGAAAATGTAGAAAGCTCAAGTAGCCGTAATCTCCTTCTGTTTGTATTGTAATCCATCTGCTGTCCATTAGTGGCCCTGAATTAACTGCAGGGACCTCAAGGGCAATTGCCAGTGCCCATTTTAAAACATTTAAACAACAGAAGCAAAGGGGAAAGTGGTCTTTCCTCAATGCGGTCTCCTCTCTTTCCTAGGAGAGGAGCAGATCTGATCTCAGATATACAGACAGACAGACAGACAAGCGGACAGGCAGATATGTACTCACACATTCCCTTTGCCCTGAAATCTCCTTGTCACTAACAATGAAGAGTGAGCATCTTTCTGTGTCAGTACAAAATAAACAGACTGACTTCATTCCTCCAATAGCTGGAGGAATCTGTTAGCCAACAGATTTAGAGTCTCTAGAACATGCCAGGGCTGGCTGGGCACTGGGGTACAAAGATGCTGAGTGTGGCTTCCCTGGAGGGCACTTCAACTCACTGCCACCCTCTAAGCTTCCCCCAAGCTGCAGGCTCCCTGGGCAGATGTTCCTTCAAGCTCCTGAGTCCTGCTGAGCGGTCCCAGCGTGTGGCAGCTACAGGCTTTACCTGCCTGGGGTGGGGGTGGGGGGCAGGGAGTACAAGACCCTGGCATCTAGGTGACAGGGTTTGTCTACTTGGATAAGCCGTGTGCAGCTGGCAAAGGTGGCTGGAGCTCCTTCTATTTGGAGGACCAGCCCACGGGCCACTTCCAGAAATCATCTTTTGACTTTTATGCTTTTGAGTCCTCAATGGCCCAGTCCTCTGTAACAATGCTTATTGAACTCAGAGCCCCTGGGTTATTCAGGTTGCTTCCTAAAGCAATTTGGGTAGGGCGGGATTGGAAGGTGGGGAGGTAGGGCAGATGGGGTGGGCACTCTAGTGCTCCCTCTCCGGCTTGCTCTCTTTTTCTCTCCCTCCCTCCCTCCCTTTCTCTCTCCCCTCCACCATCAGTTTTTCAGAACTGCTGATCTGTCCCTGACCCCTAGGGACACAAAAATGAGAATGGGTACATATGTATGTGAATGGATGCAAGTTTTGTACATATGTGTGAGCACTCGTTCGTGTCGGTGCATACGTGTGTGTGAGATGTGTGTATGTGTGTGCATGCATGGGTATATGTAGGTGTGATTAAGTCTATGTGAGTATATGTGTGGGCAACAAGGCCCATTTTTATCACACCAGATCTTATCTGCTTCCTTCTTAGAATCCTGAGGGAGGCCAGCATTTGCACAGGAATCCTCAGCTTCTTAGATGTCATTTATTTATTTGAGAGAGAGAAAGAGAGAATGAGAGGGGTTGGGGGCTGGTGGCAGAGGGCCGAGCAGAGGCCCCGCTCAGCAGGGAGCCTGATGCAGGGTCAGTCCCAGGACCCTGAGATCATGACCTGAGCTTAACTGAGCTTAACTGACTGAGCCGTCCAGGCGCCCCTCCAACTCACCTCTTTAAAGGTATGAACTATGCCAGGGAAAAGCCCAGGCAGCAGCATGATGCCCTAGATGGAATTATGGGTGGTTTAACTCTTTTTGCTTTTCTTCTGTTTTTATATTGTAATAAATTATAAAATTTATTTGTGTATGGCAAAGTTTATACTTTTAATCAATGGAGGAAAGAAAAATAATTATGCAATATATGAAGTTAGGACTACTGTTGATTCTTTGGAGGAAGCAGTGAATTCTATGTCTACTTCACATCCTGCAGAAAAAACATTCTAGTGAGTTAAAGTATTAAGTGAAATAATAAAATAACTGGAAGGTAGCTCAGCTCAGTATCTGATCTCAAGGAAGGAAAATCCTCAATAAGCATAATGACTAAAGAAGAAAACAAAGATTTTGACTATGTGAACATTTGAAATGTTTGCATGTGAAACAGTAGCATAAAGGAAACTGAAAGGAATGCACAAACTGGGAAAGATATTTACAACACAAATGGCAAATAACTAGTACTTTTTCTATATATATGGAAGAGATCAATGTCTCATAAAGGAGGAAAGTGTCACCAAGGGTAAGAAGAACTTTCCTAACCTCTCTTTTAGCTTCAAACTTATTTTTCCTTTCCTTCACATCTCTTTTCTTAAAAATAAAAAGTACAGTAACAGCCAATATTTTGGGAACACTTACTACACATGAAGCACTGTTCCGAGTGCTTCACATGAATCAACTCACTGAATTCTCATTAGCCTATAAAGTCACATTTTTATTATCATACCCATTTCACAGATGAGGTAACTGAGACATTGAGATTACACAACCAAAGTGCAACTCTGGGTCCTTAGTCCCTGTTATGCACATGCTTGTGAAAAGAGGTGTGCATGTGTTTTAAGATAAAAATGCACAGTAGGGTTTGCAATGACAGTGAAGTCTCCCCTCTCTCCAAGACCTGGCTCCAAACCACCCTGGGTGAGTTGTCTACCCTTGCCCACTTCCTCGTCTCCCATTCATGATCCAGCTGATTGTACTTTGGTTTCTGTTCCATTTCTTCCACTGAAAACTGCTCTGGCAAAAACCACCGGTGATCTCTTGGTTGCCAAACCCAGAGAACACCTTTTGCCCTTTGTCTTGACTGACCTCTCAGTGGCATTTGGCACTTTGGTTCACACCTTCCTTGAAACTCTCTTCTTTGATTTATCGGACACCAATTCTTTCTGGCTTCCACTCCTCATTCTCTGCCTCTATTTCTTCATTTTCTTTCTGCTCAGCCCTTATACATTTGCATTCTGTCTCAGGTCTTGGATGATGCCATTTATTTCCAAGTCTAGAATTATGCTAGATGCCCACCCCAACCCCCACCTCCGTTTTTCTCCTGAGCTCCAGGTTCATAGCATTCCTGGACATTTTCACCTTGATTTCCCAAAGGTACAACAACTTGGGTTATGTCCCAAACCGAAGTGATCATCTTCCCCCACAAATTTATCCCTCCTATTGCATTCCCTAATTCTGAGCCTGGCACCTCCATCCACCCCACTGCCCAAGCCAAAATCTAAATATCAGTCTAACTTCCCTTTTAGTGAGGTCTTTCCTCCCTGACCTTGGTTGCCAAGCCCTGTTGCTTCCAAGCTGTAGTATCTCTCAAATCCATTCACTTATGCTCATCCCTACAGCCATTGCCTCAGCTAAGGGCCTCATCTTTTCTTTCTGGAGTTACTGTCAATTTGCTGCCTCCAGTATCTTGATTCCTTTTTCTTAATTACTTTATCTTGACTATACTTCAGCCAAAGAGATTTCTCAAAAAGTTTCACCACTCAGCTTAAAATCCTTCCTGTGAAGCCTTTGTAATGGCTTTGCCCTTTATTTGGACTAGCCCTTCCGGAAACTATTTGCCTGACACTTGTCCTTCAAGAATCAATCAGCTAGGAAGCCTTCAGCTTCAGCTGCTCCCAACCATCTGTACATCCATCTGCTCACCAACAGTCTGGGCTCCCCACCATCTGGACATCCATCCATACATCCATCTATCCATCCAGCATCATTTACTGAGCATCTGCTATGTTCTAAGAACTAAGCCTGGTAACAAGACTGAATGTCTCTGTTCCCACGGAGCTGGGAACTGTTTCACAAAGCTGTGTGGTCTTACAGATAAGATCTTTAAAGACAGGTGTTCTGTTGTATTCATCTCTGAATTTCCAGTGCTTTGGACACACAGTCCCTTACTGAATAAAGGAAAAATTTTAGCTGACTGTGTCTACCAGCTTAACATGCCTATCGAGAAAAATAAGTAAAGAAATAAAAAATAAGAAAGGAGGGAAGTCTAGTTTGTTTGGACTTCTTCTTAGTAACCCCATGTTGACCTCTTAATAATCCCCAAGATTACTTTTTGTTGTTCCAAATGCTCATAAATCAGAAAAAGAGCTGACTGACCTAGCTCTGTCACTTTGGTTTTCTACATCTCAGATGAGGTATAGCAGAAAACCCACCCATGTCTTGGTTTACCCACCATTGTTAGAGAAACCATTTGCTTAACAAAGTGGTGGGTAATGCTAAGCTCAGAGAAGGAAATCAGAGGGCAGAATTCCTTAGTTCTTGCACTTCTCCAAGCTCTTGATCCTCTCCCTCAAGCCTGCAGACACTGTGAAAGGCGGAAGGGAAAGAGAGGGCCAAAGGGTAGGTAAGAAAAATTTCTTAAAGGATAAGACGTACTGCAAATCCCAAGTCCTCGTTCGGGGCGCAGATAAAACTGCATGGGCAATGTTGGGTGAAAATGTTCACTATTCCGATTTGGCAGTTTTGCAGTCCTGGTGAATAGAAGAATCAATGACCCAGATCCTTAAGTGGTACCCTAAAGTCTTTCCAAGCCACAGTCTCATAGCTTGGGGCTCAGGATTATTTGCGGGGGGGCAGAAATCTGTATTCGCACAGTCCAAGTTGGTACACAACACTTCTCATGTTGAAACAAACTTCCCACATTGGATTGTGCCTTCCGAGAGCACCCAGGTTCCAGGCAACCATCCTAATTGTTTCTCTTGTCCAGGATTGTCCATTTGATGGGGGCACGGAAGCCACAGATTTCCTCTGGAATGTCACTGTGTACTCAGGTCATCATCTCGGCTGTCTCAACTTAAATATTGCTTCCTTAGGAAAGCACTCCTTGAACTCCCCATTTCCCCCCATTAAAAAAAAGCCCTAGGTCAGCCATCCCCCTGATGGGTTCTCGTGCATCCTGCATTTCTCCTTGGTAGTGCTAATGATGATTATAATTAATCATTTGTGCAATTTTTTGTGTTTTTTGTGTGTGTGTGTTTTTTTTTTAAGATTTTATTTATTTATCAGAGAGAGAGAGACAGAGGCAGGCAGAGGGAGAAGCAGGCTCCTTGCTCAGCAAGGAGCCCGATGTGGGACTCGATCCCAGGACCCTGGGATCATGACCTGAGCCGAAGGCAGACGCTTAACCGACTGAGCCACCCAGGCGTCCCTGTGCAATTTTTTGTTTGTGATTGATCCTCTCTGCCAGACTCTAAGCTCCGACAGGACAGCGACAGTGTCTTACACTCTGATATGGTCCCACTGTCCAGCACATGAAGACGCTCAGAAAATACTTGTTGAATGGATAAATAATGGATGGATATACAAGCCCCAGTGCTCACTATATCACTTTATAACCCAATACGAAGCCATCATTTATGGCTGTGCTAAAGCTTTTGTCATTCTAGCTTTACTTTCGCTTGGGAAGACACACTTTGCTTCTCCTCTCACGTTGAACTACTCAACTTTCTAAAGCTGAGGTTCCTCGGTTTTCTGCCTCTTGGAATAATCACCAGAGTTTGGTAAAAACACAGATCTTGGGCTCATCTTTCAAGAGATTCTGATTCAGTGGATCTGAGTCAGACGATCAGTCAGATTTGGAAACCACTGCTCTGGAGGACAGATTTGCAAGGAATGAAGACAAAAGGTGGAGAGTTACTGGCATAAAAAGACCTCAGTCCTGCAAACAAGAAGATTGCATAAGTAGTGGAGTATCTGGGGCACGGCCCTCTCCTTGCCCTTCTGCTCCTATAGGGCATAGTTGACTCAGGGATTGGAGGCTGCAGCCCAGATGTGCTTCTGTTGACAGGTATGAGTGTTTTTAGCACCCAGTGAGGTAAGAGAAAGTCAAAGAGTTGAGGGAGAAGGAGGTTCTTGATGAATGAGGTGAAATTGATGAAGTATGATTGGCTAAATAGGGCTCCAGTGGCCCAGTGACTTCCCATTAGTGATTAAGGAGTGGTTTACATGCCTCATAGACGTTTAGGTGGCCCAGAAAGAAAGGTGTTAATCTGCTCTATTTATATTAGTGACAGATATAGTTAGTGTCTGAGGCTTTGCTCCCAGCACAGGTTCCATAAATGCTAGTGTCTGCCTTTGCGACAAACAAGATTCCTTCAATTCTTTCCCAAAATGGCATCCTGTGTCCTCGTTCATCCATACAGAAGATACAAAGACAGCCTTTAGTAGAACTGCTGGAGTGACCATTGCGGGAACTATTAGCAAATCCAGGACTATGCTTCCTTTTGAAACCAACACACTTTTCCAAAAGCCGTGCCTTATTGGTTATTCTTGGAAAAAAAGATCTGTTTTCCTTGCCACCCCTACAGAAATCAGAACATTCTCTTACCAGGTGCATCCCTATGGAGGTGGCCATGGCAGGCTCGATCTCTGTTCCCACATCCTCTATGAAGGGGTATTCATCCTGCCGATGGACAATCACCTTGGCCCCGCTGGAGGACACCAGGAAGGGGTTGTACTCCTCTTCATTTATGTACAAGATGACCTGCAGCCCTGGGAAGATAAAAGGCTACTGCGGTCAAAGGCTCGTTAAACATTCCCTGGCGCTAGCCTACCTCTCCCACCGCTTTGGGAGGCTCCAAACCAAGAAGCAGGCATTTCCGACAAATAAAAGATGGACAGGGCTAGACCGGAAGCTTCATGGAGAAGAGGGGGGGAGGGATGGTGCTCGACTTGCTCACTGCTGTGTCCCCCAAAACAGCATTACCGCCACACTTCTGCTGAGCTATAAAGGAACTGCTACCCTACCTGAGACATGCATTTCTGCGTGGTCCTTTGAGATGGGGCATTCTGCAGAGCGTCCAAAGGGACATGCAGTGCTATGGCTGCTTAAACCCTTATAGAAAAGCACTAATGGGGTATCTGATCACTGGTCTAACTTCTCTCCATACTCCAGCTCCTACCCTTGCAGGATATTCTGCACACAGCAGCCAGAGGGACCTTTGAAAATTGGAAATCAAGGGCACCTGGGTGGCACAGTCAGTTGAGCATCTGACTCTTGGTTTCGGCTTGGGTCAGGAGATAGAGCCCCGCGTCGGGCTCTGTGCTCAGTGTGGAATCTGCCTAAGACTCTCTCTCTCCCTCTGCCTCTCTGCCTCTCTCTCTCAGACAAATAAATAAATCTTTTTTAAAAATTTTAAAAAATAAAATTAGAAATCAGATCAGGTCACTCCCTTGCCCAAAACCCTTTGGTGGAAATTCCATGGAATAAAATCCGTAAACCTGACTGTGGCTGTCACGCCTACAGGGATGCAGCCCTGCCTCCGTTTCCCTCCTCGTTCCCTCCCCGCTCTCTCAAGAAGCTCTGGGCACACTGGACTTCTTTCTGTTTCTAGAGCACATCAAATTCATTTCCTTCTCAGGGTTTTTGTACTTATTAGTGCCCCAGATGCTCTTCTGTGGATCTTCTCACCCCTAGCTAACTCTTGTCACAGATGCCTCCTTATCTGAAATAAAACCCCCGTCCTGGCCCCAGCACCCCCTTCCCTTTCACTACTTGATTTTCCTCGCAGCCCTCATTAGGATTTTCTTTTTTAAAGATTTATTTATTTATTTATTTATTTATTTATTAGAGAGAGAGAGAAACAGCATGAGAGGGCAGAGGGTCAGAGGGAGAAGCAGGCTCCCCGCTGAGTCTCAGCAGGGAGTCTGCTTCTCCGTCTCCCTCAGCTGCTCCCCCTTCTTGTGCTCTCTCTCCTTCAAATGAATAAACAAAATCTTTAAAAAAGAAAGAAAGAAAAGAAAAAAGAAAACTTTGAGAGTTCATTCTGACTTCTTGCATTTGCAATTAAAGGAACTGAAGCCCAGAGCAGGCAAGTGATTTGCTCAAGGTCACACAGCGCATAGGTAGCAGAGCCAGGACTCTGCAACTCTTAGCTCCCAGCTCCCAGACTACTTCTTCCCACCAAAGTACATGTCCTGAGTTACGGTCTCTTGCAGACTTGGTAAGAATACAGGCCACACAGTGGCAAAGGCTAGGCCCCCACATGCTGTTTTCCTCTATGACAAGACCTTGCCTTTCCCTGTGGGAGCATATCTGCGTATCAAATTGTGTTCCATTTGCTTAGGACTTTGCACAAATTCCTCTTGTGGGTAAGCCAGGCCCGTCTGTTGCCGGATGCCTTACAAAAGTCACCGTGGCAGAGCAGTGGTCGTGCCAGGGCGGGAGGTCGTAATGGTATTACTGGTGCTGGTGATAGGAGTGGTAATGCTACTAACAGTAGGTATGACAACCACAGCCAGCATTGATTGTGTGTTTCATGTGTGTTGAGGACTGAATTGTGTTCCCCTCCCTCTAAATTCATATGTTGAAATCCTACCCCGTAATGTGACAGTATTGGAGGTAGGCCCTTTAAGGAGGTAATTAAGGTTAAATGAAGTCATAAGGCAAGCCCTGATCCCATAGGACTGGTGTCCTTATGAGGATAGGAGGAGATACCAGTGCTCTCTCTCTCTCTCTCTCTCTCTCTCTCTGCTTGCCACAGAGGAAAGGCCAGGTGAGGACAGAGCAGGAAGGCAGCCATCTGCAAGCCAGGAAGAGAGGTCCCACCAGAAACCAAATTCACCAGCATCTTGACCCTGGGCCCCTTGCCTCCAGAACTGAGAGAACATAAATGTCTGTTTTTCAGGCTATTTTGTTATGCAGCCTGAGCAGACTAATCCAGTGTGTGCCAGGACTTACTCGAAGCACTATACATACATTAAGTCCTCTTGACAACCTTAGAGCACACATATTATTGTGAGTTCCACTTTGTAGATGAAGTGCAGTAACTTGCACGGGGTCACACGGTGAGTGGCAGAGCTGGGTTTTGGCTCCAGAATGCGTTATCTTAACCAAGATAAAGGTATGTTTGCCTCCTTAATCTCCTGTTCTGCGTATCTGGGTTCAAGTCCGTCTGAAAGCTGCCTGCCCTGCATTACTCCTTCCAGCTACAAGCTCAAACCAGAGTGGTTTTCCAGGAAAAGAAACCCCGGTGATGTGATCTCTTTCTGTCTCTCAAAAGTAAAGAGGAGACGTCAGAAAGGAAAACAGACACTGAAAAAGGAGCCCGCACAGATGCTGATGGAGACACTGCAACAAAAGGGGACGTGGTGTCCCTGGTTTCTGGCTAGATGGAGAGAGCCCGCCTTTCTGGAAGGCTCGGGCACCCCAACTGTCCTGCTGCCAGTGTGCTCACTGTTGGTGTGGATTTCCTTACCATACTCGCTGCCCCCCATGGATGTGCTGAGGATAGTCTCGTTCTCTCTGTTGTTGAACGTGTAGCAATTCCCATACATTGGGTGGTGGAAAAGCGTGAAGTTTCTATGAGGAAGAATACAGGTCAGAAGGAGCTTTGGTGGGAACTCCCCTTGTGCATCTGAGCTGAAGGCTGGATGGGCCATGCTTATGAGGCCAACTCTCTTTTATGGACAATGGATAATAGACATGACTTACTTTCTCCACCTTCAGTCTGATAAGCCATAACCAAAGCCCCTTACCCAGGCTGACACACACATTGATATAGGACTATTCTCTGCTTTGTCGCCTCTCTTAATGCTCCCATCTTTGTCTCCATCCTGATGTGGCACTCCTTGTGCCATATGTCTGCCCCCAGATTCCTCTGCTTGTGAATTTCTTGGCCAACACTTGACATTTTTTTCCATTCCAATACCAGGAAATGATCTCCAGAGAAGGAAGCACAACGCATGTGTCCTTACACTGGCTTTAGAACCCAACCCTCAAGTGGACGAGATTTCAATCACTCAGCTTCATAAGGACCAATATATCTACTTACATATAAAATGGCTTAGTGTTTAAATAGAGTGAAGTAAGCCTTTTGGATAGGCAGGAACACTCTAGAATGTCCCATCACTGCTCAGTCACCACCAGAGGTCTGAGTGTTAACTTAAAGGCAGAAAGGTCTGAGAGCTCACCCATCTGTACATAGACCCTTCTTCGTCTCTCTTTCCCACCTTCCCTTCTTTCCTTTGTTTCTTTCTCTGTGCTAGGTCAATGGTTCTCAGTCATTGGTGTGTATCATGGTAGCATCCAAGGTTATACATATACCATCAACCACTCTGTTTTTATGAGTAACTTAATGAGTTCAAGGATATTTTGACTCTGTGCCATCTCTCTCTTCCTCACTGACTCTAGAGCCTAGCTCCCATGTAAGCTGTTTTCCCAAGGGCAGCGTCAGAGAAGAGCATCTTCTGCTCCCAAGCCCTCCCCAGCTGAGCTGCAGGTGCAGGCAAGGGGCTCAGAGCTAAGGGAGCAGACTCCTCTCCTGACCTGGCATCGCAGGACATCCCATCAAAGAGGCAGGTAACCAGCAGCTCCTCGGCAGAGTAGCTCATGTTGATTTTCTTCTCCAGAGGGACTTGTGCCATGATGTTCATGTAGTGCAGCTTGTACCACTCCTGGATGGCATTGACTCCCGAGCTGAAGGTGTAGAGGGCACAGTGGGACGTGTCATTTGAACACTGTGGGTAAGAGGAGACAGTAGGCTGAAGCCTTTGGCACTAGCGCTGGCCTTCCGAAGGACGGTGAGGATAAGGAACTGGGACTCTAGACCAGACACTCAGGGGGAACAGGAGGGACACCCGAAGCAAGGATGGGCTTCCTCTTACTTCCAGGGGCTGAGAGACATCAGCCTCAAGGACCGAGATGGGGCCGAGAGGAGGACAGAGTCTCACTGTCACGACTCCCTGCGACTGCTTACCAGATAAGAAGAAAAACCAGTTTCTTTAGCATCTCCAGATATCCAGGCTATGGTTGATTATTGCTACTGACTTCCCACACACCTCTAGCCATTTCCTTTTGGGTCAGCAGTCTAGAAATCTGGATGCTTGCCCAGACTCCAAGATGATTTCTCTGCAGGATCTTGGGCAAGGCGTTTTATGGCTCCATTATTTCACCTACCAAATGTCGGCCAAAATGCCATCCTTCCCAGTCTCAGAGAGTAGTTGGGAGGACCAGCATTTAAATATATAATAATGAAAGCCTTAGAGGGAGACTGTAGTATGTTTCAGATGTTCTCATCACACAGAGTTTGGAAGCTCTCAAACGGACAGACATTGAAGGATTAATTTTGCACTCAAGGATTACGGGGAGTGGGTATCTCATGAAAATACCCAGGAAGACTTTGAAAAGTCTCAGTGATTAGGAGAAAGGGCCGTTTTTTCAGGATTTGTAACTGGTGCTCTGAGGTCTCACAATTGGCAAGCCAGGTATGAGGTATAGGAAGAGGTGGTCTCATCCCACCAGGTGTCTCATCCTACAGAGGAGTCTGGGGCATGGAGAGATAGGGTGATTGATTGACTTTGCCCAGGACACTAATGGAATTTGATTTTGGTAAATGGCTGCTTCTTCAGAGCCCCTCAGATGGGACCAAGAAGGAGAGATGAAAAGTCAGGCACCTAACAAAGGCAAGTACTGCAGGGAACAGTGGGTATTTCTGCTCTTTATTATCTGTTTTATTCCTTCAGGGGTCTGCACCCTAATTTGGCTTTGGTAGAATGTCCTTTCCCCTATTGGATACAGTCTGATGAGACTGTCCACCATGATGCCTCACCCTCTGTTAGCCATTAGGTGACCCAAACTTGGCCAATCAGATAGTCCCAAGATGGAATTTGAATTGTCTTTATGGATGGATTAGCAAAAAGCATGAAAATAGTTTGCTTGAAGTTTAATCCAGCAGCCATACGTGAAATGACTTTCCACCATTTCTTGCCACCTAGATCCCTGGATCTTGCCTAATTTCTGTCCTTTGAGTGGCCTCCCTGAGCTACTGGTCCCTTTCTAAGACATTTTTTTTCCCTGCTCAGTATTGCCTGAGTCAGTTTTAGTTGCTTGCAGAAAATTCACCCTAAACTGGGTGTATTTCTTTGGGCAGGACCATAGAGACAGTGGGAAAGGAGAAACCTTACTGGACCCACCATCTCCAGCCCATCCCATGTACCGCAGCTGTGAGGACGCGCATCTCACCAGTTGGAATCCCACCACCTCCTTGGACGCGTGGACATGCATGGCATCCGACGCCTTGTGAATGATGCGTCCATTGAATTTCCGCTTCCGCCCTGTGAGGAAGTCCCTGGCCTTACCGGTCTCATCCTGACCGAAAGCCATCAGTGGGACCAGTTTGAGGAATTTAGGCCGTGTGCCCTCCCAAGCCGAATTCCAGGACTCTGCCTCTCGGCGTTTTCGAGACGTATTCTCTGGAAAGCCATACAGGGTCTTTAAGGCCACTCTGGTCTCCTGTTCCAAGTCAGCTAGAAGGTCCCGCACCACACTGTACCTGCCAAGGTGGGAAGGAGGAGTCAGGGAAAGGGGAAGCTCCTCTGACAGAGCACTGGTACTTCTGCCCTCTGCTCTCCATCAATGTGTGTCAGCCCTGGGCCCACTTCTCGCCTGCCTCCTTGGCCAAGGAGACCGAGCCTTTTATGATTTGCCCCATCCAAAGTGACTGTTGGCTTAAGTAAACGGTGACAGGCTCCTGTGTGACACCTGCATGACTTCTCATGCCTTCATTTCTGCCACTACCATCTGCTTGCTCTCAGGGTGTGTTGGTGAGTTTGCCCCAACCAGCATTTCTGGAGTGGTGACTATCAGGTGCCTCCCATAAACCAGCCACAGTGAAGACAATTACAGTGCAGACGATACCTGCTAACTAGAAGTCTGTCCAGGGGACAGTGTGCATCTCCACCAAGCTCACTTGTCCCTGTCCATGAACTCCCCTAAGAGTCAGTGCTGGGAGGGGGGCGGTAGAACTGTCACCTTGACAACCCCCAAGAACACAGAAGAATGATACAGGACGGAATGAAGCACAACACCATCTTTAACTTTTCATTATACAAGTAGTCCTGGTCTCCCTCCTAACCGCCCCCTCTCTTCTCTCTCTACCCCTTGCTCTGTGACTAGGCGACACAGCATGGTGACTGAGTGTATAAACTGCAGAGCCAAACTACCTGGGGTCCAGCTACCCATCCTGGTTCTGGATTTGTGACCTTGGACCAGTTATTTTAGCCTTTTTGTGTCTCAGTTTTCTCATCTGTGAAATGGGATTATTGCAGAGAATCCATGAGTTTATCGTGTGTGTGTATGTGTGTGTGTGTGAAAACATTCACTATTAATTTTATTGGTGGAATTATATGTTAATATTTCACTCCTCCACCACAACTCAGCTCCACTAGGACAAAGACTGTTGGGTTGTTCGGTTCTATGCCCCAGACTCTGGCACACTGCACAACAGCTTGTCTGATTATGGATGGATGGAAGAGAGGGAGGGACAAAAAGACTCTGAGCGGGGAGAATGAGTCTTAGATCTGATTTTGATTTTGACCAGGTGGTTTCCTTTGATACTCTTCCTCCCCTGCTCCTCCCTTCTCTCCACACCCACACCTGCTCAGACAAATTCTGCCAGATTCTGACCTGCCTCACAGATCAGTTTTCAATAATCCCGAGCAGGATTCCAGTGACCCATTTAGAACAGGCCCCTTGGCAGACAATAGGGCAGGACCAAGGGTTGATCCTGCCCAGAGCCCAGTGATCTCAATTAGTGGGGCTGGGTTCACTCAGATGAGGGTTTGGGGCAGCTGAGATGCTTCTGGAAGTCACCTGGGTGTCACTTCTGAGTCAGCTTCCAGCTCACATTTTGGGGAGAGTGAGGTGTAAGCTTACAGGGCTCAGGGGAAATGGCTAAGCTGGTTGTGTGTACGTGTGTGTGCGCGCGCGTGTGTGTGTGTGCGTGTGTGCGTGTGCGCGTGCGCGCATGTGTGCGCTCCCAGTTGCCTGGGCTAGGGGGCGGGTTTAGTCTATTCCAGGCCCAACCTCCAAGTGAAACTGACCCCTGCTGCCTCCCCCTCCTGCACATCCTGAGCTAGTCCATCCTCAGGAGCAGCTGTTAGATAGAAAACTTGGTACAGATTTAGAACCTGGGAGAGGGAGTTTACCAAGGTTGGCAACGAATTCTGATTTCTAAAAAGCGTGTCTGCAGGGTGGCGTGTGGTACCTTGGAGAAGGGCTGTGGCCTCTGGAGGGGGTGCAGACCCCACCCGTAGCCCTGCTCCTGCCTCTTACTTGTAAGGGTTGATGTTGCAGATGGTGACAGCAGGAAAATCCAGCTTCTGGAAGTGGACTTTGATGGAGACAGAGACGGTGTAGAAGGAGGCCACGAGGAGCGCACACTGCCAGAAGATAAGGGCCACGGCGGTGAGCGTGAACAGAATCCAGAGCAGGCGCCGCAGGCGACCGCGGGACACCACAATGCGGCGACAGCCGTGGGTGTTGGTGTTCAGGCAGTACCACCGCATCAGCTCTTTGATCGTAGGCGCCTGGGGCCCCCTCACCGGCAGATTCTTCTTGATTTTGGCTTTGATCTTCTCTCCGGGAGCCATGGCGAGCATGGGACACGGAGGGGCAGGCACGCTGGAGGGATGGAGAAGAAAAGCAGGTGAGCTCACAGTGCCACCAACCCCCCCAACCAGCAAGCGCTGGCTGGTCCCTGGAGGCCGGACTCTGGGAAACACCAGCCCACGTGCCCTCGGAGGCCGCCTTCCTTTTTCCCTTTGGGGGCTGGACGAGTCTGCTTTCTGAGGTCCTGGCCCCTCTTCCAGGGTATTTGGGGTTTTGGCCGTAGCAGCTGCCAAAGGGCAGCCTCCTCCTCTTGCAGCCCCCAGGCCCAGCCGTGCGGGGGCTGGGTGGGGTTTAACCCGTGAATCACTGGACAGGTTTTAAGAACCTTTCCCCTGGGTGCCTGGAACAGGAGCCCTGTGCACATCGGCCTCTGCACCACTCTTATCATGCTCTGCCGTATTTAGAGCATGACCACCCACACCTTATCACTGCCCTCAACCTGCCCCCTTGAGGGCAGCATTCCTATCTCACTAACCCCTTTGCCGCCCCCCCCAAGCCTAACTCAGTGTCTCGCTGAGCAAGTGCCCTGTACATCTCTTCCGACAGATACAACCTGCCAAGAGAATTGCTTGGCAGCCAACTTAGATCCTGTTCAGTCCACTCCCAGCCGTGATTTCCAGGATTTTCCCCTCTGCTTTCCCTGCAAGCAGAGTTTCTGTTTCATTTCTGTTTAACTTCTCTTTACGCTCAAGCCTTTGGTGTTTCTAGAGTGCCTTCTAAACAATAGCCCACAACACTTGGCCACTTAATATTTGCCAGGCATCGTGCCATATTTTCTTGATTCTGACATAACTAATTAGGGGAATACACTTTAATTCAATAACAGCTTTGTTTGGGGGAAAGTGTTGGAAAGCAAATTACCACATTCATCAATGTACGTGATGCATTGCAGATACAGAAACTTTACAACATGGAACAACATTCTTTTTAGAAATGAACTAATGGGGTGCCTGGGTGGCTCGGTTGGTTAGGCATCTGCCTTCAGCTCAGGTCATGATCTCGGGTCCTGGGATCGAGCCCCACATCGGGCTCCCTGAGCAGGGAGCCTGCTTCTCCCTCTGCCTCACCCCCTGCTTGTGCTTTCTCTCTCTCTCTCATAAGATAAATAAAACTTAAAAAAAAAAAGAAATGAACTAATATGTGGGTATTGTATGTTATGTATATTGTCTATATATAGGGAGAGTCATCTCATGGTTATAATATATAAACTCCCATTAGTCTCATAAATATCTATAGTCTCTCTATATATACATATAATCTACATATATTTCATTTTGTGTTTCAACAAGGTCAGAGAGGTGGAGTAGTTCATGCAAGACCACACCGCTAGTAAGGGGAGGAACTGGATTGGAAACTTGCAGCCTTCTCCACCATGATATATGCTTTCGAGGGGCCTGGTGTTGTGCTGGGTGCTGTCCCCTCCTCAAGGAAGAAGGAAAAAGAGGGGATACTGAGTTATTTAATTTCCAAACTCTGGATAGTCAGTGTAACTGCCTCCCAACAGTTGTGAGCACTGGTAAAGAGGGAGGGGAGGCATATGGAAACTCTGCCTCCTCTGCCTGCCATCGGTGACAGAGGTAACGTAGGGTACACCTTACTTTGGGTAGGATATACAGGGTGGTCCCCATGCCCCCAGAGGGCCTGTGTCTGGGACAAGGACTTTAGTTTGCCCCGTCAATTTCTTCAGGCAGGATTCTGGACTTCAGGAGTTACTTTTTCTCCATCTTGACCCCATGGGATATTGTCCAAATTTGGGAACTGGGGCAAAGCTGGGAGGCTTTCAAGTTTATCATGCTAGTGGGTTTCAGGTTTATGATGTAAAGGAAGTAAGAGTGCTGGGGGAGAGGGGGGCAAGGGAGATGTCCAGAGGCAGCGACCTCCCTCCAACAGCACTCCCTCCCAGACGCATATGACCTTACTGGGATGGAAAAAGCCTTCTTGACCCTCAAAATTATGCTGTTAGCCTCTTGGCAAGAGGAATGTAACTTATTTTATCATTGAAAATATTTCTCTTCCCCACCTCTTCTCTCTCTACAATCCAAAAGCAAATAAGTTAAAAAGTTTATTTGTTTGTTTGTTTTAAAAACGTGGGTCCAGGGGCGCCTGGGTGGCTCAATTGGTTAAGCATCTAACTTCCACTCAGGTCATGATCTCAGGGTCCTGGGATCGAGCCCTGCCTTGGGCTCCACACTCAGCAGGGAGTCTGCTTGTCCTTCTGTCCTTCCCCCCATTTGTGCTCTCTCTCTCTCTCAAATAAATAAATAAAATCTTTTAAAAAATACAAAATTAAAACCTGGGTCCAGGTTCAATTTCCTGTCAAATAAAACTGCAACCCAGGGAACGTTTTCTCCTCTGGGAGTGTTTAGAATCACAGATTCTGGGTGCTCCTGTCTCTAACTCTCCTCACTGAAGACAACCCCTGGGGTCCCTCTGCCCCATCAGCTCATTCTCCAGGACTGACCTTGACCCCAGGAGATCAGCCACCCATGTCACTGAAGCCACAGGCAAAAGAAGGGAACCCATCTTGCTCATCACAAAACTGGTAAATGTTCACACAAACAGTGTTTCAACTTCAAAGCAAAGCAAGGTTGTGGTTACTATTAGGTTGTGCTGCTTGATTAAACATGATGCCTTTTGGAAGAACCCATAGCTGACACCAAGCATTCACTTTTCAAAGTACTTTACAGGTATTAACTCAGTTCATTTCCACAACAGATTTCTGAGGTAGGCATCCTCATTCCCCCCATTATACAAATGAAATGGAGATCCTGAGAAGTTTAGTTTGTCCAAAGTCACACTAGAAAGTGGCTGAGCTGGGATTTGAACTTAGGAGTCCACACTCAGCTACTAGCTGTGCTGCTCCCCAAATAGTAATAATAATGGCAACAACAGCAAGAACAGCGGCTATTATTTATTGATCCTTTCGTACTCCCAGCCATCCTATGCAGCTCTTTTTTACACATTACCTATTTAATGCTCATAATTATATAAAGTACTAGTACTGTGCCCATTTCACGGGGTGGGGGGGGGAACCGAGGTGCAGAATGATTAGATAACTTGTCCAAAGCCACACAGATAGCAAGATTCAAAGGATTTTTTTTTTTTTTTTCAAATTCCAGGGCCGCTCATGACCACGATTCTCTACTGCGCCCCGCTGGCTCACCCCCGACCTCGCCTATCTCCCATGCCCCAGGCAGGGACCCCAAGTTTCAGGCTCTGGGCTCGGGACCCGAGCTCCTCCCCCGCGACTCCGCAGCTCCTGCCTACCCTGCACAGAGCGATCGCACGCTGTGCTGTGGCAGAAGTCAATCCGCTGAAGCCTCCAGAGAGAATCCAAACCGATTCAAGTGTTTGCTTCTTTCTGCAACCACAGTCACCCCAGAGAAAACATTCCAGAAGGTAAAGGGAACAATCGCGGTCAAGTCACACCAAAGCCAAGAAAGGGGGCTGAACAGGGGCTGGGCGGCGAGACAAGGCAAGGCGCGGCCCCGGACCCCGGGAGTCCCGGACCTTGTTCCTGAGTAGCCCAGAAATGCCTATCGCCCCAGCTCTGTGTCCCGGGCCACGGCGTGGGCGACGCCAGATAGCTGGCTGGACCCGGATTGACCTGGGAAGGTGTCCCAGCATCCCAGCCACCGGGGAGGCAGCCCCCGGCTGATGCCGGCTCCGCCGCCAACCGCGCGGACTGTGTCCGAGAAGCCACCCGGCCCCGCGGCCGCTCCGGTGCCTGAAAGCCCCAAACTCGCGCGACCCGACCTGGCTCTAGGCTCACCTCGCTCAGTTCCGAAGAGTCCGGGGCTCGCGTGCGCGCGATCCGTGTGCGCGATCTGTTCTGCTCCGCGTACAGCTAGAGCATCCCGCAGCCGCCGCGGCCTCCGGCTCTTGTGGGCCTGACCTGGGCCCCGCCCCTGCAGCCCCGCCCCCTCGGGGCCGCTCCCACCTGCGCAGGTGTATTCCCCAGGAGGCCCGGGATGTGCCAGCCGCGACTCCACAGCGCCCCCTGCCACCCTGAGGCCAATCTGCGCCCAGGTGCGTCCGGCCCTGTGCCTTACCGTAGCGCAGCGCAGTGCCTGCTGCCTCCCTGAGGCCACCCAGCACCCTGCACGCCCTCTGGGTCTGGACGGCACCTTCCACCAGCACTTCACAGCGCCTCCTGCCGCCCTGTTACTGCCCGACACCTTCCACTCTGGTCCAGTTGGGCGCCCTTCCACCCCAGCACCAGGAGAAATCCCAGCAGCCTCTTACCCTGGGCTCCCCACTGACCTGGATCATGAAGCTGCTTCAGTGCCCACCTGCGTCTGGCTGTGGGCGGTAGCGGCTTTGCAGCCAGGCCGCTTATCCTTTGGTCTCTTCAGCTGGCTTTTCATAGCAATGCACACAGATAACTGTAAGAAAGGGGCTTAGAAAATGGCAACTGGGGGGCGCCTGGGTGTTTCAGTCGGTTAAGCATCTGCCTTTGGCTCAGGTCATGATCTCAGGGTCCTGGAATCGAACCCCACATCGGGCTCCCTGCGCATCGGGGAGTCTGCTTCTCTCTCTCTCTCCCTCTCTCTCTCAAATAAATAAATAAAATCTTAAATAAAAAAGAAGAGAAAAGAAAATTGCAACTGGAAGGGACCATAGAGATACCTCGGTCCAGCCCCTTAGAGTAGGGAAGAAACAGGCCCAGAGAAAGGAAGCGTTCTCTTCTCACACAGAACTTCTCAGACTTTAATGTGCATACAATCACTGTGGATCATGTTAAAATGCAGATTCTACCTCTACAGGCATGGGGCGGGGCTTGAGAATCTGCATTTCTAACTTTCCAGGTGATGCCTCTGTTGCTGGTCTGTCACCATATCCCACCTGGATCATTGCCATATTCCCCTAACTAGCCCCTCTACAGCCTATGGTCAATATACTAGCCAAAGGGATGCTATTAATTTAGAGTCAGATCATGTCACTCTGTTTAAACCTGTTCAATGGCTTTTTTGCTTTATCC